TCCGTACTTGGGAGGAGAAGACACGCTTTAACTCTCTCTGATTAGGCACCCGCGGGAGCGAGGAAAGGAAGGGAAGCAGTGGCCCTCCCGAATTCGGGGAAGGGGGCCCACACATAGTAGCCTTTTTCAGGCATACGCATGCTCCTGTCTACGTACCACCCCGTGCTGCTAGCAGATCTACCATGCTCGTATCCAGACACACGAACATTTTGTACACCGGAACCAGAGTCAGGCTATTCGCGGGTATTTGCCAGCCATCAAGTACTTTCACAAGATGCATGCGGGATGGGAGTTGCCCACTTCGCGTTTTCAGATCCTCGCCGTGTTGAAAACCATTGATAGGGCTCATGCCAATACGCAGACGAAGCCTAAGGTTAGGAACCCCCTGTCATGTGAAATGCTGGAGGTTGGGAAGAGCGTGGTAGGAGGGTCGGGAGAATCACAAAGGTTGATCTGGTGTGGATTGGCGCTCTTGTACCTGCTATTGTGTCGAGCCTCAGAACTTCGGACGGACGACTCGGCCCTCGTGCACTGAGACTTTTCCCTGACTAGGGGAGACCTGGTTTTCTTTACTGGTCCGTTGAGGGTGGCATGGGCAGACAGGAGGCAGGCTAGCCGGGTGGAAGTCACGTTCCGAGCGTCCAAGGCCGATCAGAAACGATTGGGGGCAACAGTGACTAGATCGGGAGAGACGCTGAATGTGTTGCTTGATCTGTTAGATCTGCACCCCGAGCTGGGAAGCAATGCGCCGCTGATGCAATCGTGTGAACAGAACAGGCGGAAGGTCATTTCGAGGGCAGAGGCATCGAGATCCCTCAGGTTACTCGCGAGTGCGGTGGGTAGAGACCCGCGGAAGTATGCGTTGCATTCAGGGAGGATCGGGGGAGCCACGCACCTGGCAAGCAGGGGAGCGTCGGTAATCCAGATCCAGAGAGCCGGTAGATGGAAGCTGCGGCTTTCATGGTGTACGTTAGAGCTGGGGGAGAAGGGGCGAAGTTCGTGTCACAGGCCCTGACTGAACCCGAGGAGTGAGGAGGGATTCGAAGGAGTAGGTCATCGGACATGCCTAATGGAGTAAGATAAGCCGAAACAAAAGTAGTAATAGTAGGGCAATCTTGGGAAGCTTGTAGCGGGTTAGTCCGATAAGAAAACGTTGGGAGCAAGACGGCGCTTAACCTGCGCTCTCAATGTGTTTTAATTGTCTTAGATTTTCTTTGGTTTACCTGCAGAAAAATAATCCAGAATTCTTGAGCAATTCTCAACCCGACCGCGGGATCGCCTCTCGCTAGTATAAAGCCCTGCGAGCTGCTTTCAGAACTCAGAATTCAGAACTCAGCCACTTGGCGCCCTGTACTGAAAAGCAACGGGTAACAAGGCGGGTGGCGGGGGGGGCAAGGGGGGCGGGGCTGCTGTGGCGGCGCCCAAGGATTGCCGAGGAGGTCCCTCAGCCGGTATTGCGGTGTACCACACGCTCTCAAAAAGCGGCGGAATGGGCTGACGCCGTGGGCACCGAAGAAGTCGGCACTCTGATCGACCGAAGGCTGCTGCTGCTCCCCCGGGTACTGCCACTGCATCCGACACCCCCGGCGAGTGAGGCGGGTGGGGTCGGTAGCGCTCCTCGCTCGAACCGGGCTTGCAAGAAAGCCCCCGGCGCGTGGTCTATTACTCCCCCAAGGAAGCGTTTGGAGCAGAGTACGATGGAACGAGGAGACAGCAGTGGACTTCCTCAGGCGCTGTCGCGAAGGCGCGGCGGAACACTTCGGCACCACTTCTACCTCGGGAGTCTCGAAGGACGGGGCGGGTAGGTCGCCGCGGCGGCGCTACTCAACCGTGGGCCCTCGTACCTCGCGATGGGAACTCGGCAGACTTCTGCAGCAGCAAACAAGAGGTGAGAGTGCCTCCCCACTTCTGTCCATGTACGTACATGGGTAGCAGGCACATGGTGGTGGTGTGTGTGCGCGCAAGGACTGCGTGCGCATGTCGCTGTTCTTGGGTGCCCGGTTGTGGGTTTCCTTACGTGCTACCCTTCTTTCAAACCTCGGAATCAGCGCCCGGGGGAAATTCACGGATGATATGTCGAGTCTAGCCGGAGGACTGCTGTAGACTCGTAGACAGCGCTTCTTTTTTTTTTTCAACATTGAGCCGGTTTATGACTGCTGTTAAGAAAGTCTATGCACGCATAGACCATGCATACACCACGGGTACGCTCCTCAAAAGTGCCCGCCGTTGCAGGCAGCAGTAGAATAGTATGCAATTTTTGTCGGTCTGGAAAATAGCGTACACGTAGTTGACGCCTATTTGTCGGGAAAATGACGATGTTGTCGCCGTCGTAATGAGCAACATGACCTTGTTACTTTCGCAAGGGTCTGCTGTTGTGTGCAAGTGCTGTATTGTTGTCCTGCTCTGTCCACCTCTTGTGGTAGAGGCAAGAGGTTTTTCAGAGATTATGAAAACTAACATGTCCTGATAAACTTACCCACTCCAATGCTGTGTGTGATCTGGTGCAGACCTGTCCAGGCGACAAGCCTGGCTGGCGAGGTGCACGCCCACCTGGAGGCAGGCCTTGCTGTCGCACGATTCGACCGAAGTCAGCGACAGCGGCGGGGAAGCGCCCGACTCAGGGGAAAAGTGCAGGAAACGTACCGAGGACTGGCACGAAGTCGGGTGTCGGGCACGATGCGTGGTTGAAGGTGTGCGTGAACAGAACGAGTGGGAAAGCCCTTGGATGTGTCGACACCCCGGCTGTGGGACCTCCTCCGCCGCTTTCCTATCGCCGTCGTTGTGTTGTGTAACGTGTCCGTTCCCCTGGAGTTCATCTTTTTTTTTGTGGTGGGGGTTGTCCGGAGAACAAGTAGTTGGCAATTGGCTGCCCTGCTTTTTAGCGCATGGTTTGAGGTTGTGCACTGGATTCGAGCGCCAAGTACCTGTGACTTGAAGTCAACGGCAAGCGTCGGACAAACCCATGACATGTCGCTTCCGCTTTCGTGTCTGCCGCCTTCCCTGTTTTTCTACCTCATGCCATGAACCATACCAGGTTCACCCAAGCACGGAAGTCAATATCGGCGAGGCTTCCAAGAACGTGGACGCGCATTTCCCTTCCTTGCTGTCCGCACAAGACTCGCAAGGACCCTGCGTTCAAGGGGTACAGCGACAGGTCATGGAGTATGTGGCTGCGCCACATCCACTTCCCTTCGAGGCCAAGCTAAGGCTAAACCAACACTTCCCGGGGGACTTCGCGGTCTTTCTGGACCCCGAGAGCTTTGTCGCTATCCACAAGTATGTCGACATTCGCAAGATCCAGCCCTCTGTTACCCCGAAGAGCAAAATGCTCGTTCATGTTTCCCGCCGTTAGTGCTGGGTGCTGGCTTCGTTTGGGCTCCTGGGGGAAGGGGGGCTGCGACTCGAAGGTTTCAATGGGATTTTGGTGTGACATGGTATTTTAATCTGTTGTTTGATGTTCAAGCTGGAATACCACTGAGGATTTGCGCAGCTGTTGTAGTGGCGTTCAGGCGTACCGATGTGTTGGAGGTTGGATTCGATATGTGTTGGTTGGTAATAGTTGGGGCCTTGTCGTGCTTTCCGACTGCTGACTCGGGTGCTAACTTTCGCTGGTCAAGCAATTGAAGCAACAATTTTATTGGAGGATTTTGTCCTGAATTGGTGGCGTATTTCAGAGAGGTTGTCCGCCGGGACGTTCGAGACGCAGTTCTGATGTAGTGTTGATTTAGGTTGGATGTTCTTTCAATAGTTATTCTGCCGTGTTGGCAGCTTGAGACTTTCTCAACATTGAGACTTTCCGAGAGGGGTTAATACTTCAACTCTTGGTTGATATGGAATTTAGTATTTGTTTCGTATTTGCCGTGTTAACGGTACGTACGAGCAGTTTTGCTTTTGCGGTGTTTTTACCCAAGCAGGGGAACTGCTTGTGATGCTCATGAAGATACCGTTTCGGGGAGGTCTATTGGGGGTATACGGTTTCGGGTGGTAGTAGTGTTGACTGCATGTCACGGGGACCCGAGCACCCTGTAGTCTCTCTGCCCCCTCAACGAACACGAGTCAAGTTCATTTCAAGAGGCGCCTCCGGCAAGAGCCCGCAACGTGTTTACATAAGTCACGTCCGAGCACACAAACATTTCTTTTAGCGCGGGTGTGTTTTCGGACGCAAGGCAAGACAAACACCAATCCTGAGTGAGTTACGTAAAAGGGGTCGCTCTTCCCCCTGTTCACGGGTGGTTCCCCGTCACGGCGGTATAATATTAGCTCATGTCTGCAATACCACCTTGAGGGTTCCTTGCCAACAGGCGAGGTGCATTCTTTGCACGCACTTCGATGTGCAACTCCCCTCTCCCGTCCAACACCCACTCCAAGGGACGCAATCATTCCGGGCGCCTCTCCCGTCAGGACCTAACTCTAAAACAAGAAACAAAGATGTTCAACATTGCACAAGCTAGTGAGGCGAAACATCTGCAAACACCACTACCCCATGTTTGCGGTGCGGTACTGACACCATGTCCTGCAGAAAAGATAAAAACTGACACAGCTACGAGCACCTCACACAAGACAAGGACTCCAATTAGTCGAAACTCCAAGAATATCCGAAGAAGCCTCGACCGCAACGATACGCGGCCAAAGCCATGGGGCCCAGTATGCACGGATGTAGTGCTTACCTACTAATAACCTTTTCCCGTCCCGGCAAACAGCACAGGGTGGCTCGGCCCTCGGGTTTAGGCGCTACATTAAGGGGATGGTTTTCCCCGACGCACTGCACAGAGGCGATCAAATAGCAAGTTTGGTGAGGCAGATATAGCCGATGTAGACTACTGTTTATTGAAACGGTCGAATTTGCCAGAGGCGTTATTGTTCCTGTATTTCGGGGTATCAGGTTGAGAAGAGTCCTTTTGGGATGGTCACTTTATCGGAGAGTTCACGTGCAGGAGAAGGCTCGCTGGACAGCGTGGAATAGCAGATTTATACAACAGCAGTACGTGAACTCAGAGAGGGATAGCAAGGATTGGCCAGATTGGGAGGCCAAGAAGTTGCGT